GGATAATGGATTCAGTACATTTAGCCCAACATGGCGTAGCTTAAAATTTTGATAAAAATTTAAATTAATTTTAACGGTTAATTTTAACCACACATTTTATAGGATCTACAATTTTTTATTAACTTTTCAACCACATATTTCATGACATTTTATCAAAATATGATTTTGAACTCCACCAAACAAGGACTTATTTTCGACTTCAAAATATAAATTTATTAGGACGTTCTAGCAACTCTACTACATAGGGGATTCTAGAGGGACGGTTTTTGGTGCGTACAAAATGCGTGAGAGATGAAATCGAACCATTTATAATTGTGCGTATACTTTACTTGTTTTCTGATTTCTCACTAACACCACCTACTTCATCTCTCTATATGAACTTCTTTGGTATATCTTTGAGAAGCCGCTCCCGACCATATGTAGAGATGGCAATGGGCACGAGCTCGACCCGTGCTCGTCACGAGCCGAGCTCGTNGGATAATGGATTCAGTACATTTAGCATAAAAATTTAAATTAATTTTAACGATTAATTTTAACCACACATTTTATAGGATCCACAATTTTTTATTAACTTTTTAACCACATATTTCATGACATTTTATCAAAATATGATTTTGAGCTCCACCAAACACGGACTTATTTTCGACTTCAAAATATAAATTTATTAGGATGTTCTAGCGACTCTACTACATAGGGATTCTAGGAGGGCGGTTTTTGGTGCGTACAAAATGCGTGAGAGATGAAATCGAACCATTTATAATTGTGCGTATACTTTACTTGTTTTCTGATTTCTCACTAACACCACCTACTTCATCTCTCTATATGAACTTCTCTGGTATATCTTTGAGAAGCCGTTCCCGACCATATCAGAGATGGCAATGGGCACGAGCTCGACCTGTGCTCGTCACGAGCCGAGCTCGTGGCTCGTTCACGACGGGCCGAGCTTCTGCTCGGCTCGTTACTCGTGGGCAAGACGAGCTCATTGGCTCGCCCAAGAGCTGATTGCTCGGCTCATGAAATGACGAGCCCGAGTTGCCCACGAGCCGCTTTTTTACGAGTCGAGCGGTCGAGTCACTCGGTCCATTTGCCACCACTAACCATATGTAGATTTCTAAACAGTAAGTAAAACAAAATGCACAAGTAGAGTTGCTTTGATACTTTTTTTCATCAATGATATAATTCTCATGTTACTCGTTTAAATGTACACTTTCATGCAAAACTTTTCTAACTAGTCAACGTTTTTTTATCTTTGCCAAGATGAAATTTGTCACATGTCACAAATTTTATTAAATAAGATTATCCAATAGTGCAAAATGACTATAGTGCTTTTATCAAAATGTCCACTATGAAAATTTAACGAGAAAGATTAATTAGACTGCTTAAATGGTGTAGAAACTCTCGTCAACTTTACCTAATGCAACGAAAATGTCTATATAGTTCAAAATTTGTGGGAAAGGGGAAAAAAAGAGAGTAAAATGCGTGAGAGATGAAATCGAACCATTTATAGCGACTCTACTACATAGGGATTCTAGGAGGGCGGTTTTTGGTGCGTACAAAATGCGTGAGAGATGAAATCGAACCATTTATAATTGTGCGTATACTTTACTTGTTTTCTGATTTCTCACTAACACCACCTACTTCATCTCTCTATATGAACTTCTCTGGTATATCTTTGAGAAGCCGTTCCCGACCATATCAGAGATGGCAATGGGCACGAGCTCGACCTGTGCTCGTCACGAGCCGAGCTCGTGGCTCGTTCACGACGGGCCGAGCTTCTGCTCGGCTCGTTACTCGTGGGCAGAGCCGAGGTTCGGCTCGCGAGTTCGTAAAAAAAAAAAAAATTTTTTTTTTAAATAAAAAATTAACCTTTCGTCAAGATGAGCTCGTTGGCTTGCCCACGAGCTGATCGCCCATGGGGGCTCGGCTTGCCAACGAGGCCCACTCGGCTCATGCTCGAGCTCGTCATTTGACGAGCCCGAGTTACCCATGAGCCGCCTTTTTACAAGTCGAGCCACTCGGCCCATTTACCACCACTAACCATATGTAGATTTCTAAACAGTAAGTAAAACAAAATGCACAAGTAGAGTTGCTTTGATACTTTTTTTCATCAGTGATATAATTCTCATGTTACTCGTTTAAATATACACTTTCATGCAAAACTTTTCTAACTAGTCAATTTTTTTTTTTTTGCCAATATGAAATTGGTCACATGCCACAAATTTTATTAAATACGATTATCCAATAGTGCAAAATGACTATAGTGCTTTTATCAAAATGTCCACTACGAAAACTTAACGAGAAAGATTAATTAGACTGCTTAAAAGGTGTAGAAACTCTCGTCAACTTTACCTAATGCAACGAAAATGTTTAGATAGTTCAAAATTTGTGGGAAAGGGGAAAAAAAGAGAGTAAATAATATGAAGAGAATGTCAAGATGATGTGAATTTGTACCATAGGAGGAGAATCCGATAACAAATTTGAAAAAAGAAAGATACCTTTGTCAATAAAAATTCAAAAAATGTACACTATGTACCCAAAAGTAGTTGACAAAATTCATTTTATTTTCTACAACTGCCGATTTTTCATTAAATAATGTGGCTGAGGTCTTGACTTCCCAGTTTCTTCATAAGTCAAAAAGAGAATCATATGGATAATTTTCCAGATAATATTTTACTTTATCACCAAATATAGATTATAATATTGTGTAGGGATAAAATTTCTTCATACATATCAAGATTTAGTTCTTATCCAAAATATAGAATTAGACCAGTAAAATCCATACACAATTATGGAAAGAATAATGCTGTTTCACCTTATTGGTTCAACAATGTATGCTCCTATTTGGTGTAGACTAAAATAAAATTAAAATTTCGTGTCAAATTCAATAATTAATTTTAACCACACTTCATCGATTTTTATTAAAACATAAAAAAAAAAAATCTGATTTTGCATACACCAAACAGGGGCCTTTCGATAAAGCGAATAAATCCCATTAAAAATTTGGCTACGTTTGAGCTAGTAAGTAGAATTGAGTGCTAAGCTAACTCCTTAGTACTGCGACGCATATATCCAAAGCACGGCGTTGAAGTTCAGGAAGGCGTCAGAAGGAGTTTGGCGCCAAAGACTTGTAATTTATATGTGATAGATTCAATTAAATATAAAAATTAAATGAGTTATTTAATTATACATGTTATAGATTGATAATATAATATCGATAATGCTAAATAATAATACTTTCAAATGAAACTCTATAAACACAACGTTCTACGAGCAATTCACGATTTGTACATGTTCAATTCCATATGAATTTCTGACAAACATTTGACTTGGGAGTTGGGAGTTACCTACCACCTTTATTGCTACATGCTTGTCGTTCTCGAAATTATTTCGGTTGATATTTTTGATTACGGATAATGCTAGAAGTACATCACCA